AAGCTACGCCACCAGTATTGTCAATACCAGCTGGGTCACCCACAGTGGGCAGGTTTCAGCAGAGCTTCCAGAGTAAAACAGATTAGGAAAGCGAGACAGACATTTCTGAATGGTTAGACACTGAAAGCCTTATGACTAGCAGTGGGACTGGTATGACAGAATGCCTGCAGACGAGCCTCTCAGGTTGGAAGGCACTCCGAATACGACTGGAGAAGAGCTGCCTCCTCCAGCGTTGACTCTAATGACATGGATGGAGTAAGACTTTCAGGGCCTTCCTCTGTTGCTGGGCCACACTTCAAATGAGAAGAAACTGCTATAAACATTCAATAATATTCAGAATGTGAAAGGTACAAAATATGAATCAAGGAAAATGAGAAACAATCAAAAACGAAATGGAGTGCATAAAGATCAATGTCCTAGGCATTAGTGAGTTGCAATGGACTGCTATTGGTCACTTTGAATTAAACAATCACATGCTTTACTATGCCGGAAATAACAAATTGCAGAATGGCGTCCCATTCATCACCAGAAAGAGCATTTCAAGATCTTGAAATACAGTGTTGTCGGTGAGATGATAATACTCATCCACCACAAGAAAGAAAAGTTAATACCACTATTATTCAAATTTATGCAACAACAATTAAAGCCAATGATAAAACTGAAGAATTCTACCAACGTCTTCATTCCGAAATTAATCAAACATCCAAGTCAAGATGCACTGATAATTACTGGAGATTAGAATGTGAAAGTTGGAAAGAAAGAGGAGGGATTAGTAGTTGGAAAGTACGACCTTGGTGATATAAACAGTGCTAGAGATCACATGGCAGAATTTTGCAAGATCACTTACTCATTGCAAATACATTTTTCAACAACATAAACTGCAGGTATACATGTAGACCTCACCAGGTGGAATACATAAGAATCAAATTGACTATATTTATGTGAACAGATGATGGAGAAGTTCAACATCATCAGTCAAACTCAGGCCAGGGGCCAACTGTGCGAACGACGAGCAACTGCTCATCTGCAAGTTCAGCATGAAGCTAGAGAAAACTAAAATAAATCCACAAGAGCCAAAAGACGACCTTGAGTTTGTTGTTGTTGTTAAGTGCTGTGAAGTCGGTTCTGAGCCATAGTACCCCTGTATAAGGTTTCCAAGGAGAAGCTGGTGAGCTTGAACCACTGACCTTGTGGTTCAAAATGACTTTGCAGTCCAGTGCATTAGCCCACGGTGCCACACCAGGACTCCATATATGCCATCTGAATTTAGAGACCATCTCAAGAACAGATTTGATGCACTAAACACTAATGACCAAAGACCAGAAGAGTTGTGGGATGACATCTAAGGTATCATGCATCAAGAACAAACACAAAAGGTCAAAACCAGTACAGAAAGAAAAGAACAAATGGCTGTCAGAAAAGCTGCTCTTGAATGTAGAGAAGCTTCAGTGACTGCAGGAAATGATGAAGTCAAAGAGCTGAACAAAAATTTCAAATGCAGCTTGAGAAATGTGAGAAGACCTGGAATTAGAAAACCAAAAAAGAAAACCATCCTCAGCATTTCTCCAACTGAAAGAACTGGGGGGATACAATGGGCAAAATGCTTCATGACACACGACGTATCAAAAGAAAATGAAAGAAATACACGGTACCAAAAAGAATTGGTCAATTCTCAATCATTTCAAGAGGTAACAAGGACCAAGAACCTATGGTAAGAAGAACCTATGAAGGACGAAGTCCAAGCTGCACTGAAAGCACTGGGGTAAAGGAACTGACTGAATACCAACTGAAATGTTTCAACAAACTAATGCGATGCCAAGAAATCTAGAAGACCACTACCTGGCCAACTGATTGGAAGAGATCCATATTTGTGACCATTCCAAAGACAGGTGACCCAACAGAATGTGGACATCATCAAGCAATATTAATATCACACGCAAGTAAAATTTTGCTGAAGACAATACAAAAACAGCTGCCTAATTACATTGACAGGAAGCTGCGAGAAATTCAAGCCACATTCAGAATACAATGTGGAATGTGGGATTATCATTGCTGACATCAGATGGATCTTGGCTGAAAGCAGAGAACAGCTGAAAGCTATTTACTTGTGCTTTATTGACTATGCAAAAGCTTGTGGATCATAACACGCTATGAATAACATTGTGAAGAATGAGTATTCCAGAACACTTAATTGATCTCATATAGAACCTGTACACAAATCAAGAGGTAGTCGTTGGAACAGAATGAAGGGATACTGAATGGCTTAAAATCAGGAAAGGTGTGTGCCAGGGTAATATCCTTTCCCCATACTTATTCAATCTGTGTGTTAAGTAAATACGCTCGGAAACTGGATTATATAAAGAAGAACACAGCATCAGGATTTGAGGAAAACTCATTAACAATCAGCGATACGCAGGTGACAACAACCTTGTTTGCTGAAAGCAAAAAGCACTCAAAATACTTACTGATGAAGACCAAAGACCACAGTCTTCACAATGATGGCACCTCAATGTAAAGAAAACCAAAGTCCTCACAACAGACCAGTAAAGAAGATCATGATAACAGAGAAAAGACTGAAGTTGTCACAGACTTTATTTTACTTAGAGACACAATCATTGCCGGAAGCAGCAGTCAAGAAATCAAATGGCATACTTCATTAAGCAAATCTGATGCCCAAGACCTATTTAAAGTGTTAAAGAGAAAAAACATCACTTTGAGGACTAAGTTGTGCCTGATTCATGCCATGGTATTTTCAATCATTTCATATGCATCTGAAAGTTAAACAATGAATAAGGAAGACAGTGGAAAAATCAATGACTTTGAATTACGATGTTGATGAGGAACACTAAAAGCACCATGGGCTGCCGGAAGAACAAACAAATCTGTGTTGGAAGAAGTACAGCCAGGATGTTCCTGAGAAGCCAGGATGACAAGACTTCATCTCTTATGTTTTGGACGTGTTGTCAACAGGGACAAGTCCCTGGAGAAGGACATCACGCTTGGTAAAGTGGAGGGTCAGCAAAAAAGAGGAAGACCCCCCAAAGAGATGGATTAACACAGTGGCAACAACAATGGGTTCACACCTAACCATTGTGAGCGTGACACACAACCGGGCAGTGTTTGGTTCAGTTGTGCATAGTGTTGCTATGAGTCGGAATCAACTCCAGATCACCTAACAACAACATCGCTTGCATTTTTCATATGAAGCAACGGAAACTCAAGAGGTTAAGCACCTTGTTACTGTCTCAAGAAGAAGCTTCTATCCCCAAACTTCTAACTTCCCAGTGACAATCTCCCTCACGGAGACGTTGTGCGGATCACATGAAGTACTGTATATAGTACTTGGTACACTAATGAGAAACTGCTCAATGAAACGCTTATATCCCCAAACTTCTAACTTCCCAGTGACAATCTCCCTCACGGAGATTTTGTGCGGATCACGTGAAGTACTGTATATAGTACTTGGTACACTAATGAGAAACTGCTCAATGAAACGCCAAACCATTATTGTTATAATAATTAGAAACCTCAGAAACTTGAGGTTTAGGGCCATAAAAAAAAATAATAATTCTTCCCAATTGAAATAAGTCACCAACAACATGAGGACATTTGGATTTTCTAAAGAAGTGACCTGGGACAGACACTGACTGTTGTACACCAAATATATAAGGAGAATTCAAAACAGGCCATGGAAAAATTCCATCATCTTTTCATTCCATTTTTCCATGAGCTTTTTGAACCCCCCTTAAGTATTCTGCTCCTCTTAATTAATAACAGAATCCCAATTTCATTCAGAGGAGCAATGTGTCAGGTTTTAAAAAAAAAAACCCTTCAATTTTCAGGCTGCCTGCCACTAGGGGTAACCAGGTGGCGTCGTTCTGGCCAATGAGATCTAAGTTGAAGCCTACTCAGGAGGCCTTCTGGGAAAAGGAATGGCGGCCAGACTCAGCCTTTTGTACTCTGCCCTTCCCCTGCCCCTCCAGCAGTGTGGAAGCAAGAGTACTGTCACAAGGATGAAGCTGAGAGCCTTGTCAAGGACAAAACACAAAGGCAGCAAAACCCCGGACTGCTCAGGGCTGGACAGTTACATGAGAAAAACGGAACCGTTTTTGTTGAAGTCATTGTTGCTGGATTGCTGTACATAACCCCTAACACAAAGAGATCCCATCCTAGAAGGTCTGGGAGACTCGGGCATCACCTACGCCATGTCGAGTTAACCAGACACAGCCTCAGAATGACCGAAGAACACAGCACCATCAACACGTGAACTGTTTCAAGAACACTGACAGAAGTAAGGACGAGGTCTTCTAACCACATACTTCAGTATACTCCTCAGGATAGAGGGATAAACTGTCATCTGGTTTATCAACCCCATTCCCCAAAGGTGTATTCTTACAACACCCATTTCACGGCAGTCATTCAATTTACACTTTTTTCTCTACACTGTAAACTCAGTGTGCGCAGGAACCCCCTCTATCTTACAGTACAAAAGTTGCTATTGTTGATTTCTGATTCATAGTGACCCTGGTTTCCAAGCAGCAGCTGGTGGATCTGAAGCGCTGTCCGTGTGGTTAGCAGTCCAGTGCTTATCCTACAGTGCCACACTAGGGCAAAGTTGTTGTTGTTGTTAAGTGCCGTTGAGTTGGTTCCGACTCATAGCAACCCTGTACAGGGTTTACAAGGAGCAGCTGGTGAGTTTGAACTGCTGACCTTGCGGCTCAAGCTGACATTGTGGTCCAGCGCGTTATCCAGCAGCAGTTAACAAATATTTAGTGACTAAACATATTAACTAAATAAGTAAATGACAAACAAGTCTCCTAATGACTAATTCTGGCAAACTGATAAAATCCAGGGGGGACACGCAAAACTGGACAAGCTTAGGTACTGTGGTGTCCCACCAAGGACAAGTACCATTAGGAAGCAGCCAAAACAGGCTGCCAGTTTTATCCCGAATGTGGCACCCCCGCCTCATTCTTCATTCCCAGAGTCACTCTTTATACCTTGTCCTTATCCATGATGACACTAGCAACAGGCCCAAATGCCTGAAAGTACTCAGAGAGCTGAGCAGAATCCACATCCCGGGGAAAGCCACTGACAAACACACTTCGAAGTCCCTGGGCCTTTCGCGAAGCTCGTAGTTCCACCAGGTGCCGGTGCTTCCGGCCTCCCAAGTGGGCATCTAGACTGGGTCCTGTGAAAACAAGCAAAAGACAGACACCCAAATCACTGTCCAGTGTACCTGCCTTTGCCTTGCTCTCTGCGCACCTCAGTCCTACTAATCCTTCAAAAGGTGAACTTTGAATAAACCAAGTCCTGGCTCCTTTCTCTTTCCCCTCTTGTCCATTGGTTTACATAATATATTCCCCAAACTGTTCCCAGGAGAAGTGCCTACACTACAAATATTTCTCCAGCCATCTCCAAGAGCTAGCTAGGTACAGCAACACTACAAATTGTAAAAGAAATGACTAGCTAACTTATCCAGGTTATACAGAGAACTAAATACCTCGGGACCCTAGACGACCCTCCATGGACCATCGCTGAGTATGGTACAGTGATTATTTTAAGTGCAGGATCTTAAGTAACACACCCAAGCCAATCCCAGCTCTGCCAAGCTATATGAAACCTCAGGCAACTTAATCAACCTTGCTGTACCTCAGTTTCTTCAGCTATAAAATTAAGACAAAAAGAGTAGCTTTCCACAGGTACTATTCAGACATAGCACTTGGCAGAGAGTCTGTTATATAGCAAAGGTGGGGAAAGTTAGCCACTATTATTATTTCAATTTTATTTGAGTCTGAGGCTTGGTGTCACCAATATAGATATAGACCCAGGAAAGATGTACTGTGGCCAAGGTTTCTAGCTTGCCCTACTGGACAAATGAGAATGTCATTCACAAAGGAAGGGAAGAAGCCCCCAGAGTTAGGGAAGATCATGATTCCAGGCTTTATAAGTGGAACTGATGTTTTAATGAGCCCTGGCATTATCTGCTTTTCCTAAGGCACCTTCTGCCTCTTCCTCACTGGTACCTTACGCTGCATCACAGCAGTCTGCCTCTGGGCTTGCCTACCGCCTTCTCTATAAAGCCCCAGTTCCGCAAACATAAAACAGAACATTGAAAGTGTCTCCCTCTCTGGATGCAAACTCTTTCCTCTGTCCTGCCACCCCCGTCACCCCAGAGCCCAGCCGAGAGCCTGCAGACACAGATCAGACGTCCTATTGTTGTTGCTGTTGTTAAGTGCCGTCGAGTGGATTGCGACTCATAGCGAGCCTGTATAGGGTTTCCAAGGAGCAGCGGGTAACCTTGAACCGCCGATCTTGCAGCTCAAACAGAACTTCAGTCCAACGCATTAACCTACAGTGCCACAGCGATAGTGACTAAAGTTTCGTCGTGGAGATTTAGGAAAGATGTAAGGTGATGGGAGTTTGCCCTCTACAATCTTTCGCACGGGCGGCGCCCTAGAAAGACAGAGGTGTGTACCCCTACCAACCGATTTCAACCCTCAATTTCTCCAGAACCAAAGGATAAGAGCCCGCAACCGTCCCTCTCACTAGACACCCCTTACGGTTCGCGGTAGTAATGCGGCAGAGGCAGCAGCGGAAACCTCCACGCGGCAGCGATTCTATATCCGAGTCCACCACCGCCGCCATCGCGACTTTCCAGTACCGACGAAAAAAAATAAATAACAGTACTTCTGGCTCCAGCAGAACTCGCTCCTCCGACTAGCAAAGCGCTCCGAACAATTTCCGCCAATGAGACGGGAAATTACGTCACGTGGCACTCGTGAAGAGACTCCCTTCTGGAAACTCAGCGCCTTCCACTCAAGGTTCCGATTCTCGTCTGGGTTCTTGAGTTCTCTCCGACTTCGGGAAAAGCCGCCCATCTGCGATGTGATCTGCATGCGGTGAGTCGATTGGTGTGTTCTGAACTACTCTAGCGTTGATTGGTTATAAGGTTATGAATATTCAACACAGTAGTCACAAAGGCAGGCACCGGCTTTCTCGCAGACAGGCCGAGTCCCCATTCCAGGACTGTAGAGACCCATGCGGTTGTACCTGCAGCCCCACATTTATTTACCTGGCCAGGAAAGGTGGAAGGTGGGCAATCTCCACCCTTTGTCCCACAAAGCTCAGGGCTGCCCCTGGGCACCCAACGGTCTCAGGACTGCTACCCTCTCCCTCCCGGGCCTACCCCCAAACCACTGCCCAGCCCTGGTTAGGGAGCTCTGTCCGGTCCACCGCCTTATTTCTGCGTCCACTTCTTCGGTGGTCGTGGACTGCGTGTTGTGTACTCACGCAACGCCAGAACCAGTGACCCACTTCAAGGCTGTGCGGAAGAAACTGGCTATGGTGGCAGCAGAGTGAGGACACTGGAGCGAGAAGTGCTGCTGTCCCCTAGCTGATAGTGCTGAGTTTAATCTGTTAACCTCAAGATCGGCGGTTCTAATCCACCAGCTGCTCCTCGGAAACTCTATACAGGGTCGCTGAGTCGGAACTAAAGCGAAGCCACTTAACAACAACCTCCTGGTGTAGTCTCAGGACAGGAAGTGAGTAAAGGAGTTAGGGAGGCCCTAGGGCCAGGAACCTGAATAAAATGGAGGGGTGATTTCCGTTGTGAGTGGATCTGAGGCAGACACATCAAGGTCTGTGACCTTGAGCTAAGGTGGTTCCCCATCTCTAAAGGCCGGGCCCAAGGAGCACATACATAGTAGGATGCCCTTCCTGTCTTCTTTCCTATTCTATTGTGTGCCTATACTGGTGGGCCACAGTATCAAGGCAGTTGCTTAGGTCCTGAGGACCCTAACAGGATCCTACCTCTGCAATCTGAGTACAGCCAGAGCTAGGTGCTTAAGATTCTGCACTGCCCCTTATAGTGGGCTAGCTACATCGTGCTCTAACCTCTAGCAACTCCCAGAAGTCCCTAAGGGAATATAACCAGTTGCTGTTGTCGATTCTGACTCATTGCAATCCCCAGTGTGTCTCAGAGAACTGTGCTTCATAGGTCTCAACGGCTGATTTTTCAGAAGTAGATGCCCAGGCCTTTCTTCGTATGTACTTCCAGGTAAACAAGCACTATCAACCTTGGGGTAAGTAGCATGCACATTAACTGTTTGCACTGCCCAGGGACTCCAGAAGGGTGTACGAGTCAGGGAACTCGGAAGATGCACCTTCATGCATACCCCTTTCCTGTAGGAGCCAGTTCCTCCCAGCTGCTGGGATTGCATCTGGGCCAGGATGGCGCCTGGTCTCTAGCACTGTGGGGACCGGGGGTGGGGGGCAGAATTTGGGTTCCATAAAGCTGGCTGGAGCAAGCAGCCTCCGTCTGTATCTCAAAAAGCTGTTCCTATGGCAAGCCCCATCATTCGTCTTTGTCCTTTATTATTTTTCCTCCTGAAGACCTCCCCGCACCCCCACGGAGAGAACAGCTGAGCCGGGAAGAGCTGAAGAAAACTGCTTTTTATTTGTTACTATAAGAACCAATTACAGAATCCAAGGTTAAAAAAAAACGGACAAAAGATCTTTATTTCTGAGAGTTGGCGTACAAAAGGCAGAAGGGGAGAGGAAGAACGAGCGAGCATGGGCTGGGGTTGATGCCAGCTTAGGGGCCTCAAACTTCAATTGGGAAAGTCCGGACACCGGACAGGAAGAGAACCCCCCAGTTAAGGGAAAAAAAAAAAAAAGAAAAGAAAGACATGGCAGTGCACACCCCCCTCCCCAACTCAGGTACAGACGCCTGACATCTGTTTCCTCTTCCTTTTCCCCTTTCACAAAGGGAGGCGACATTTTTAAAAAATTAAAAAACCCTCCCCACAAAACTGTCCAAGATTGACTGAGGGTCCTACCCCCAAAAACAGGCCAGGTTCCCCACACAGGCCAGTTCCAGCAGACAGTCCATCACCAGGCCCCAGGAGCGTGGAGAAGGGAGCAAGCCCTGTGCTGGGGCCACCAGAGGGCGCCCACCCCCTCCAGAAACACACACCTGCTCCCTCAGTCACAGCCTCACTCCTTGGGGTGCTAGAGGAAAGGGGGCGGTCTTGGTGCCTTAGGCACCGCCCCTCCCCACAGATACTTAGTCCTCCAGAACGATGGGCTCATTGGTGCTGACAGGATGTGGGGGTGCTGCCAAAGGAACTGGGGGCCGCACTGCCAGCAGTGGTGGTTTCACCTTCAGGGGCAAGTTGGGTCTGCGAGCAGCCCGCCGCATCTCCAAATGCGTAAGCGATTTCCTCAAGGCCCTGGCCAGGAGAGGGAAGTTAAGACACAGCAATTCTGCCTTACTGCCCTTTCCCTCCTGGTAACCCGGCCTGGCCCGGCCCGGGCACTCCCAGGCTTCCTGGAGCTGGGCTTTCTCAGATACTGCTATTTCTCATGACCACCAACCAGCGTTATCAACCTCTCACACCCTCCCATGGTGGGCTCCCTACCTGGTATCTTTTGTGGCCACAAACACCACAGGATTGGGGGCATCAGCTGGGTTTAGTTTCTGACGCTTGGCTGCTGGCTGCGAGCTGGAGCGAATTCCAGATGTCAGAGGCCTTCCATTGGCGGAGAAGGGGACTCCTACCCCTGCCATCTGGAAAGGGAGAGAACCGCTCAGACTCCTACCAGAAGAATGGCTCTTGCACCCACCTCAGGCCTGGCCCATCCCAGTCTGTCAACTCACGGTCTCATAGGCCCTCTTCACCATGATGCCCCCCAATCCTCGGTTCTGGGTCAGCTGGTTTCTATTGATAGGTGTCTTGGTGCCCCGAGGTGTTTTTGGTTTCAAAGGTGCCTGGGCCACTACAGGGGTGGAAAAAAACAAAACACAAGAAAGATATAATTTTCTCTTCCCTACCCAGTTTCCCCTCCTCAACTCCATCTCTTTCTCCAGGGTCAGTAGCTGTCTGGGAAGGGTCTGGCAAGTGATCACCAATATATCAGAAATCTCACACACAAACACAAGTGATCTCATCAAATCAGTTCAGCAATGCTGGGCAACTTTGCAGGAACTCATTAACGTACAAAGTATGGTGAGACTAACTCCTCTCTCTTAGAACTCAATGGAAAAACAAAGCAGTGAGAGGGAAGGTTCTTGACAGATAGCAAAAGGGCTGGGAGGAGCTTGACTCCACCCCGAGTGGGTCCCTGTCTGGAACACAGCATTTAGGCTCAGTCTGCTTCTCCATCCCATACCCAGATCTTTGACGATAGTTGCCAGGGGCAGACGAACCAGAGGGTGAATCTTCAACGGAGTCTTGGCAGCCTTAGGAAGTCGAATGGAGCCTGGAGAAAGAAGATGAGAGTTTCAGAAGTTTTACAATTGGGCCTCTTCTGGGATCACAAGTCCTGTCTATAATCTGGTAAGAAACCTCTGTTTCCTGTCACCCCTACTGTCATTAAGCATCCAGAGAAACCTGCCACCAAGCCCTCCATGCCCTTACACTCTGCCTTGATGGCATTGGCGTTGATAGGAGCATAAGGTCGTCGGGCAGCCCTCCTCGGCTGCAACAGGTCCCTGCACATGCGTCTGGCAAGACGGGTCAGCTTTGTGGTCTGGAGCAGGAATGTTTGCCTGTTCTTAGCCAATAGCTTGGCCCGGTTGGCGCTGGTGGTGTAGGGGGAGAGACTTTGGGCTTCAGGTCTAGACAAATGGCCCCTTGAATGTGGCTCCTGGAAGAGGGACGCAAAAATTGGGGAGCTGTAGATGGACACTGAGGTTCCCCTTCTTCCTTCCATTTCTATCCGACCTCTTTACCACTAGCAAACCCAGCTAGCTTCCCAGCTGCTCTGGCCCCTCACAGCAAACCATCACCATATAAATTATCACCATACAAAGGCTTTCCCTTCAGCTCACATCCATGGATCTACTCCTCCCCTTGCCTGTACTCATCAATCCTTACTGTGGTGCCCCGAGCAGCCCCCTCAAGCTGGGTGGGGGTCTTCAATCCCCCATATTTCTTCCAGTAGATCCAACAGGAAGCACAGAGGCGGCACTGCATGTTGGGCGGGCCCCAGGCATACCACTGGGCCGACTGTGTGGCTGTCAGAGCAGAGAGAGGGAGGGCAGTCAGTAGGGAAACAAGCCACTTGAACCTGTGGACTGCTCAAATTAGAGCAGCCACGTGCCAGACACCTGGGACTCACTGTAACAGCTCTGCAGATCAGTACCTTCCCACCCTGCCAGGGGCTCACTATGGCAGCTCCCAGTCAGTCCCCCCACCCCACCCCATCTCCCCCTCCCCAGGAGCTCACTATGGCAGCTCTCGCAGGTCAGGCCTTTTTGGAAGCCAGCACCATTCATGCCAGGTTTGGAGCCCATGGAGATGATCTGGTTCGGGTTTGGCTTAGTGCTAATGGGGGTGACAGGGCGAAACAAGGGCATTGGTCACGGAAAAGGATCTCTTTCCAGCCTGTCTGTTATGAAAGAATCGGAGTCTGCCTCTGCCCACTCCAGTCACTGAGGAAGGCACAGGGGAAGAGAAGGAAAACCTGCCTGCCATCCTTACCCAGAACACTTACTAGGTAGGGATGTAGACCTGTTTCAGTTTGCTGTCTGCTTCAGCAGCTTTCAGTCTTTTCTGCAGGGAAAACAGGTAAGAATATGTCAGCAGAGAAAGAAAGTACCATCATTTTCAAAGACAGAGAGGTAGGGCAGGCCTCTGGTCCAGCCTCCCCGGGCAGCCCTTACCTGCTGAATATACCGGTCTGTGGTTTTCCACATGTAATAAAACTGGACGATGCTAGCAAGTGACTTCCAGGGTAGCTAAGGAGTGCAGAGGGGAGAAGAATGAGCCGGGCACCTGGCCTCAGCTTCTGTTCCCTTCATTTTTCTCCCAGCTCTCTCCCCACATCCACTTACAAAGTCCTGACGGATATCATTGAAATCCTTCCCATACTTCTCCAGGGCCTCCTCAAACAGCATGGCCTCTGAAGCGGACCATTCCTCCATCTCATCCCGGCACAGCACCGGGCCTCCCTGAGGCACCAGGGTCGACATGGCCTTAGCCAGGTCATAGCCATTCCTCTGCAGTGTATCCATGGCGTGAAACTACAAAGAAGGTGCAGCAGAGTGCTGAGGCCCTCCACCCCTCAGCACAACTCCCGGCCCCCTTTACACGGCCCAGCGCCCTTGGAGACACCCTCTTCTTCTGTCCCCACAAAGTCTAGTCTGTCCAATGACCCACCAACTTCTGCTCACCAGGGTGATGTCTCGGGAAGCAGCAGCTGCACTCATATGCAAGCTGGGCTGCCGAATGGAGCTGCTGCAATCCAAGGCGCGTGCGAAGGTGCCCACAGCTCTAGTGGGAGAGACAGAAGTCAAGAGGGAAGGAAAAAGGAAGCTCAAGTGCGCCGAGGAAACAGCCATGGCCAAGAATGAACAGCACTGTTCTCTCTCAGAGTGGGGCTTGGTCCTATGCCCACACCTCCTCCAGCCCACCTTCCCCATCCATCCACCCACCCCTCACCGGGCCACCACGAGGAACTGGTCAATCTGCCGGTCGGTGAGAGGGTTGTCTGGGTCCCAGACCTTCATCTCCATCTTCTGTTGGTTCCTATTATCCGACTCTCCTGGGGAAACAGGACAAAGGCACCATCAGCAAGAGGGAGGGAAGGCAGATTGGGGGTGTTGGCCTCACCTGCCCCTTCCCTGCTGAGAGTCCATCAGCCACCTGTCTGAGAGTCCAGGTGTCCATCTGTCTCTCTGGGGTTCTGTCGGGGTCCCGGCAGGGAACATGCAGACTGTGCCCCGCACAGCTCCAACACACAACACACAATTCAAGTTCCCCTCAGAGGGAGTTCACCCAAGTTGCCCGCTTTCTGTCCTGGCACTTACCCTCTGCCAAGCGATCTGGGATCTCAGCTTGGTATTTGCAACCAACTCTAATCTCTCCCTGATCAGCTAGAAGTGTCTTCTGCACAGGGTCAAACACCAGTGAGTAAAAAAAGCAGTCCTGGAGACGGGACGGGACGAGAGAAGGTAAATGGCAGCTGTCCACACAGGCAGGGTCCGGGTTGGAGTGCCCCCAGTTCCCAGTACAAGACAGTGCATCAACCCTGGACCTCATGACAGCCCTCCTTCCCGCTGGCCTCTTGGGGGCTACACTCACTCCCTCCTTCTTCTCCCAAAGCAATCCTCTTTCTCACCTCCTTTTCCAGGTACTGGCTCAAAATATCGGTCTCATTCAACAGGGTCACACTGCACTTCCCCCTGCAGGTAGGAGGTCAGAAGACCCTGGGTAAGCCCCTGACACCCACTCCAGCGCACTACCCCTGCATTTCTGGCCCGATCCGAGTCCCATACCGTATGTGAGTGGCTGGTAAGGATTCAAACTGCCGAGAAAGGAACAGCTCCCTGTGCTTCAGCTGGTGTCGCTGCTGCTCAGATACTCCAGGCTGCTTTGATTCCTCCTCAAATTCCCCTGGTGGATGAAGGAGGAAGAAGCCAAGTTGAAAAAGAAGCCACCTTCAAAACTCCAACCCAAGGAGAGCATTTCTTCTCTCAGCTCAGTTATCTCACACTCCCCCAGGCATCTGCCTTCCGTTTTTGTACCCGACAGTATTTCCCTCTATGCTCTTCTCGGCCACAGAAGCTCCCACCTTCCCATCAGCAATGCTCTGAAGGAAGAGTGGTTGTGGAAAATGTTGCAGAAACATACCCCAAACCCAGCTGATAAAGTTACCGCTCATTAAGCAAGGAGCTCTGAGAGCGTAGTGGTTATGAGTCAGGTTGCTAACCTCAAGGTCAGCAGTTCGAAACTACCAGCGGTTCTTCGGCAGAAAGATGAGGCTTTCTTCTCTCGTAAAGATCTACAGCCTCAGAAACCCTACGCACAATCACTATGAGTCGGAACTGCCACCACCACCACCACCACCACCGCCCACAGCAGGCCCAGGAAGAACCTCACTCACACTTGTCCCTTTCGTGCTAAACCAGCCCAAGGTCCAGGAGCCCAACAGGATGCAAACAGACCATACAAGGTTGTGCCTAGCAGTTCCTCTTTTCAGATCTCAGGGGACTCTGCTCCAAACTATTACGTGCAACCATCACTATCCCTTACCTTCGACTTGGCTACTTAAATATATGGGGGCTTTTCCAGACAGCACCTTTCACACCAGTACCTAAATCCTCCTCCCTGAGGAGCGGCAGCTTGCCCAGAAACCTTGGTGGGAAGGGTTAACTTGGATGGGCGCCAACAACGAAAGGGGGAGGGGCAGAAAAGCCTCAGGCCCAGGCTCATGGGTGCATTGTTCCCAACCTCAGGGAAAAGGGGGGGTGAGGGGGCAGCAGGCTCCACCCCTCCCCTGTGTGCTCCGGAAACCGGTGCTCAGGCTAGGGGGACCACACCCCCTGCACCCCTTCTGATTGGACAAGGCCAAGGTCAGCCCCTGCCATATGGGGCTGGAAACCCCAAAGGGACCAGGGAACTTGGTAAACCAAGATCCTTATTAACCCGTTCATGCCCAAAACAGCCTGGGGGTGGGGAGGAGGGAAATAATCTAGAAGGGAGAAACAAGACGTGGAAAAGCAAAAGAAGAAACTAAAGCTAAGGAAAACAGAAGGAAATATAGAGATAGAAGCTTAAAGAGGAAACGCTGTAAGATGGGGTGGAGGAGGAGAAAATGAGGGAAGAAAGAAATAGAAAAAGTGCCAGAAAAGTTTCCTGCCAGTTTCCGGTCTCCTAGCTTCCGGTTCACTCCCGCAGCGTATTCTCACCACCCTGTGATCACAAGATGAGCCTGCTTCCCAGCTGCGCCAATCTTTTCACCTTGCCCTCTCAGCTACCACCCAATGTCCCAACATACCCAAGACTAGCTTCCTCGTCCCCTCTTTACATATTATCCTGTTTGTCAAACACACACACTCACATTCACACTTCCCACTTACACACAGGTCACATTCTGGCTTTTCTTATCATGGTGCCTCCCTGCACCCTGCTTCTAACCCCAACATGTAAAAACAGGCCTCCCTTCACAGACCAGTCATTTTCCCACCCCCAAACTCACACCCCTGCCTTGGGCATGATACCAGGGGAAGCACGTGCAGGGACCTGCCCAGGTCTCAGACCCTGGGGAAAGTGTGGGGTTGGGGGTTAAAGACACTCACTGGCATTACTATCAGCCAGGCTGTTGAGGCTACTAGAAATGTCCCTTCGCCGGAAAAGACAGACAACCTTTGCCTCAACGTTTCCGTTTGCAGTCTGGAGAAAGAAAAAAAAAAAAAGGGTAATGGAAACTGGTCATTTGAAAACTGGAAATGCACAGAGAAAAGATGGTAACAACTGCGAACTTGCTTCTGAATGATCTCAGAAAAGCCCTCTAAATTAGGAGTAGAAACAGCCTTTCAAATCCTTTTCCTTTGCCCCCAGTTGATGGATAGCAAGGAAGCTCTCCACAAGCACTGAATGAATGAATATGCATTAGTACAGTACTTAAGCTTAGGGTCCTCTCAGCCTGAAGTTAGAGCCCTCACAAGAAAGAGCCCTTTGGGGGTGGGGGGACGAGGGCCGCTGCCCACTCACCTTGTTGAGCTCTTCAATTCGTCTAACCAGGTAAGGATTGCTGGAGGAGTTCTCGAAATAGACGTAGTCTGTAGGAAAGGGAGGGGAGAGCCGGGCAGATCAAAGGAGGAGAGGGAGCGTTAGCACCCAGATGCACGAAGGAATGGGCCTGATGAACCACTAGGAGAAACGAGGACCTCAAGATGTGGCCGCTGCCCTGGGGGCGGGGGGGGCTAGGAAAATCGGGAGGGCACCCCACACCCGCCACTGCTAGTTCCAAACTCAGCTCCTTCACTCAAAAGTGAGACTTCGGGAAGCGGCAAGACGCCGGGGTGTCCCCGAAGAACATGCAGCTCGGCGACGAGCGGGAGCCCCCCCAGACTCGGCCAAGTGCGCACAATAACGCCAAAGACAGGAGAGCTCCGGGCTCCCTCGCCCCGCTGCCTGTCCTGTCAGATTCTTCGGAGCCAGTTTTCCCAGCCCCACTTCCCGATCCGGGGGTCCCCACCGCAGCCCCGCAAGCGCCGTCGGGGCTGCCCCGCAGCCTCTCTCCGGGTCTCGACACTCAGTGGCGCCACGGTCCCCGCACTCTGATCCCGGTTCCGGTTCCGGTCCCGGTCTGTACTCCGGTCCACGCTGCCCCAGACGCGGCTCCGCGAGCCACAAAGTGCCAAGCCCACCGGGTCCCGAGCCCCAGCCTCTCCCGGCCCTGGCCCCGCACCCCCCGCGCCCGGTACTCACCCCCCACCCGGTACATGTTGGCCGCCATGGCCGTTCCCGCCGCCGCCGACTCCGGCCGCACAAAGGGGTCCGGGAGGTTCGCGAGGGCAGGGCTCGGCTCGAGGCAAAGCCCCGAGCACGGGGCTGGCGCTTCGCGAGAGTCTCGGTGGGGCCCGAGCAGCCGGAGCCTCCGCCGCTTCAGCCGTCGCGGTTCATCCCGGCCCGCGCTGTCGCTGTCGCCGCCGCTACCGCCTCACGCCCGGGACGCCGAGGCCGGCGCCGGTCCGCTCGGCTTCTTCCGGAACGAGTTCGGCTCCCGCCGGACCAGAGCCAAGCTTCAGCTTCCCCCACCCTCGCCGAACCCCACCAGACGTTGGGCCCTGTCGGACGCCGGGAAGGTTTGCCCGGCAGGTCTCGGGGTTCGCCTCCTTCCGGAACACCTTCGGCCGATCGGGAGAACAAGGCCCGGAGCTCGGCTTAGGTCGGAGAGCGAAACCTCAGAGATCGGCTACTTCCGGAAAAGGTTCGGGTCCTTTCGACCAACCGCGGCCCGACACTCGGTGATTTCCGTTACAGCTCGGCTCCACCTCCGAAGGCGAGAGAGGATTTAGGGTTAACACTCTCCTCGCCGGAGCCCTGCGGCCCCGATTGGCTGGCAAGGCTTTGGTCTTCACGAAGGTAATTTGCAAGCGGCTTTGCCTTTTATTTGCGTAGTTGTCTACACTCCCTAACCCTTTCGGCACTCCTCTCCTCTCCACCTGGGCCCTTGAAGCACCCCAGCCCTGCCCCACAAAAAGTACCAGGAAGCCGCTTTGGTTTTGGTTTATTGCCCCTCAGCAGTGTGCTCGGGAGTCGGGGTCCGAGCTGGGGCCGCCCGACTCGGCAAACAGTCTGGTCTGTAACAGTGTGTTCGAGGCCAGGAATGTCTTGAAGTTACGGGAAGGCTGGGCCCCTGGTCTTGGGGGAGGCGACGGTGCGCCGAAAGGCCAGTCGCCTGTATCAGGCGGCGGTCAGACATCGAGGGAAGAGGCGGGAGACAGAGACGGGGTTCGGGAGGGCGTGGCGGGCGTCAGTCCCACGCCTCCTGCGCCCAGCACGCGCCATTGGAAGATGCTGGCGTCCTTGCCGCCCAGCGAGACGAGGTGCGAGTCGTCGTGCGTGAACCGGACACTGGTCACGTGACTGCCGTGGCCCGCGTAGATGCGGCTCGGCGCCTGGCGGGAGGAGGCCGGGTTGAGGTGGCGCCCATGGCGGTGGGGTCCAACCTCTGGTCCCAGTTCCCCCAGCTCACCTTGGCGCGTGCGCACGGGTACTGGAAAAGGTGCACTTTGCAGAAGTCGTCGGCCACGGCCACCACGCGCTCATTGTGGGAGCGGCACAAGGAGTTGATGTCTGTCCCGTCGGAGCCGTCGGGCCAAACGCCTAGCACAGGGGCCGGCATCAGTCTGGCCGCCCCACCTGTCCGCATCCCCTCACGGCTTCGCCACCCACCAGCCTCAACCTCCTTCCAGGCAGGGCAGCTCCGTCCACCTAGTCTCCCACCCGGCCAACCTGCCCGCAGGATTCCACGGCCCTGCTCACCGTACACGTGGAAGCCCAACACGCAGGTGTAGGTGGACCACTCCCGGTCTCGGCTCTCATAGCGATTCCGCAACAGCTTGCAGCCTGCAGCCACATCCCCTGGGGAGGGGTTCCCACCCAGCTCAGTCTCACCCTGCCCTCAGCCCTCACAGCAGTGGCAATGTCCCAGAAGGCCAGCTTGGGAAGACTAACTTAAGGTGGTGGCATGTGGTCTGGTCACCATGGTTGTCTCATGGCCAGGAGCAACCCTCCCTAGCCCCTTGCTCCTCCTCAGTTTCTTCTTTGCTAAATCAACCCCTCCACAACTACCCTGAGAAACTTTCAACCAAAGGAATCTTTTCTTAGTTCATTTTTCAACTGCCTCAAGTCCCTGTGGGAACACACCATGTAGTGTAACAGCGGGTGTTTTTCCACACCACAGCTCTTCTGTAACAGTCCTTCTGCCTGGAATACCCCACCCATTCTCATCATCCCCTCCCAACCCAGCCCAGTTCCCCTCTCCCACACCCTCCCCTGCTGCCCCTTACAGTATAGAATCTCATAGTCCCCAGAATTGGACATGATGAAGTTCCCGTCCTTGGACCAGTCGAGGTGAGTGATGAAGCTGGAGTGACCCTGCAAGCAAGGGTCAAGAGGTTAAAAACAGCCACCATTTATGTCCCGTCTCCAGAGCTCCCTCAGGCAGCAGAGGGCTACAAGTCTACGTTTGTCATGCTGTCGCCATGGCCCACCCTCTAGCCCAGCTTCCTCACCACACAGCGGCCAAAGCGGCTAGACTTGGCACCATCACTGGAAATGCTATAGATGTAGATCATGTTGTCATGGGAACCGATAGCCAGGTACATCCCATCTGCAAAGACAGTCACTCAGAGAGGGAGGGGCCAGGGAAGGGCCTGGGGCCAGGGTGGGAACAGCTCTCACCTGGGCTGTACCTGACAACTGACAGCTGTTCATTGCCATCAGTGACGTCAGACATGATCTCTCGGGTCTCCGTGTCCAAAACTAGCCACCTGGAAGGGAGGAAGGGAAAGGCAGGGTGTGAGGAGACACCCAGGGAGCCATCTGGGACAGGGGAGAGACTGGCAGATTGAAGCTCCTCAGAAAAGCCCACAGAAAGAAGGCTGGAAAGTAGAAGCCACCCCTGCATTCTTAGGCTGGGAGGTGTCAAAGGTCAAGGTCCTCTCAGAAAGGAGTCAGGGACTATAGACCAGGGGACCCACTACAAGTTCCCCCCAGCTTCTCAACTCTGGGACCCTGAGCTGCAACCCCCTGCACTCCCAGCTTGGAGCAGAGAACCCTTACAACAGTGAACTGGAGAGGTCCTGGCTGCAGGAAGGACTGAGCCCTGGAAAAGCACAGTGGGGCTCCTGAGCAGCCTCCCCATCCCCTCACAGGAGTCTCTGCTCTCTCTCACCTCCCTGTATTCAGTCCTACGGCCACAACTGCCCCACTGGGGTGGAAGTCAGCACAGAGACCAGTCTCCTGGGAGGAAGAGAAGAATATGCCTTTTGATTGAGGGAACCAGAATGAACATCTGGTCTTCCTCCTAAGGAGGAGACAGGAACCCGGGATGGAACAGGGTTGTCACGGGAGCCTAAGCAAGGGGTGGTACTCAAAATATTTAACAGGCCTGCTGGTTGCGCCAGAGATTCTTAGTTGCTGGATCAAGGGAAGGTCAGGGGGGAAGGCCAGAGTACTGAAGATGACACCTTGTACCAACCAGCACAGAGGAATTTATACCCAGCAGTCCAAGCTGGCTACTTCCAGCAGCAGAAGGAAAGGGGTTCTTGGGGAGTAAGTGGTGGCCCAGAAATCCTGGGGTAGGGAATCCAGAGACAGACACTGTGCTCTACCTTGAGGTCAATGCTCCAGGCCAGCGCGTGGCCCTCCCCATCCCACAGGCAGAGCTGCCGGTCATGGCCACAGGTAAGGAAGCGGTTCTGGGACGGGTGGGTGCAGAGCCCCCAGAGCTCATCTGTGTGGCCCTGCAGCATGGCAGGGGCTGTCATCTAGGTTCCTCCCCAACAGCTCTCTTCACCCTCCTCCCTTGAGCCCTTGGCACCCCCCAACCTGGATGACAGGGGAGAAGCCCTGGGCCAGATCCCCCCTCAGCAACGCGTTCTTCGTGGTCCCCACCAGCAGCTCAGAGCCAGGCCCCTCAGCAATGGCCCGCACAGCCCCGAAGTGTTCAGGAATCTGCAGAGAGGACGGCAGAATGTCAGGGCTCCATAGGTTATCCATCCTTCCCTCCCTGGATCCCAGGCCAGCCTTTACCTCAGCCTCCTGGAGAACCACCAGTCCAGGCCCCCACTGGACCAGCCGGCGGTCCCGGCCGCCACCACTTAGTACTGTCCCATCGCGCCGAAGACACAAGGCGAAGATGGAGCCCTCATGAGCATGGGCCTGGGCCACAATCCCATAGGTCTCTGCTGACAAAGTCCCAGGTGGGTCACGCTCTTGGGGTGCAGGGTATTGGGAAGCAGGGGCAGGCTAGGCCATCACAAGAGAAGGTAGTAACTCCCAGCTGTTGAGTGCCTACTGAATCCTGTCTGTCTCTGATGCTACTGGCTGCCAGCAGGACTACCATTCTCCCATTTTAAAAACAGGACAACTGAGGCTCAAAGAAGTGAAGCAATTCATTAAAGGCCAAACAACTAGTAAAATTGGGATTGGAATCCAGGAGCTGGCAAACTCCAAGTCCCAGCCCTTCCTCTTTTTCATGCTGCCCCCATCCTTAGATGAGTTCCCAGAAAAGAGCCCTCCCATAAGGCCCCACCCCTTTCTTCGGTGCCCCTAGCCTCTCTGTAGTACAGGATTTCCCAGATGCCACCACCAACCACATACCTTTGGCCCCACCCCTGCCCGGGGTCTTGGAATCTGAGAGGCTGCGACCCCAGGTAAGAATGTGCCCCTCTGAGTCCCCAGTAAGAATGTCTCCATCAGGGAGGAACACAAAGCAAGGGATGAACTTGGGTTTCTTGTATTTCTGGAGCAGAGAGCAGAGGTCAAAGGGCGAGGCAAAGATGAAAATCACAGGACAGGTGGGGATGGGGTAATAATACTGGGATCTCTCATACTCAGTCAATCCCTTCCCAGCTCCACTCTGCCCTCCCCTCCCCACCTCACCCCAAAGACACCCTGTTTCCGGGTGAGGGTCCCGTTCCCAGGAACCCCTGCTCCACCACTCCAGTTCCAGAAGTGGACATGAGATTTCCCACTAGTGACGATGCAGCTGCTGTCCCGCGGGCTGAAGCCAACAGCTAGGACGGAGTCATTGGTGCTCTGAAGGGAAGACACGACGATTCAGCCACCCTAACTAAACACCATTATCCCACGTTCCCACCTATGTCCTGACAGCTAGCCTACAGAGTCCTGAGCACAATGTTTCTTCAAGAGCCCCAGCCATTCCTGATCAGTCTCCCTAATACCTAACACTGTGTAAAGTCAGAACTTCCACCACCTCAGATAAAGAAACCCATCAGAGGCTAGGAGATTTATCCAAGGTGACCCCACCAGAAAGGAAACAGATGTATCCAAGTCTCTGTGCTCTGTGCACCTCTCCAACCTCAGTGTCCCTCCCGGGCTCATCACCTTGATCTCAGCCAGCTTAGAGCCGCGGCTGCAGTCCCAAATGGACAGCATGTGTTCGTTAGAATCATCCACTACACAGAGGAATGCACCCTGGTCCTGAGGATGGGAGGACACAGTGGAGGGGTGAGGCCTGCAGGTGGGGGTTCCTGGTCAGGAAAAGGAGCTGGTGGGGTTCAGGAAAGCCAGGACTTCCCGGGCCTCCTGAGGACGTGCAAGGGTGGGTGGGTTCTGGGGCAATAAAGAGAGGGGTCTCAAGGCTCTGGAGCCAGCTCA